CTTATAAAACGGTGTCATCAGCATACATTTGAATACTAACAGATGAACAGACTAGCGGCAAGTCATTTGTATACAAACTAAACAAGATAGGGCCCAGAATTGATCCTTGAGGAACTCCAATATTAGAACGCCTTCTTTAGATCCAAAAACACTGCTTCTATTACTCCACCACCATTTTTTATTTTTTTGAAGTGTCTCTATTTTTCTTATAGCATCTCTGTAACAAATTAAATCCTATATCATCCTGATCATTTATTTTGGCTACATTTTTGGCATGCTTTTGAAATGTCAGTTGGGAATCTAAAATTACTCCTAAGTATTTAAAATCAGAAACAACCTTGAGCTTTTCTCCTTTAACAAATACATCAGGATGAGGAATCGTTGTCGGTTTTTGTGAGAAATACATACAAATGGTTTTGCTTATATTCAAATGTAAATATGAATTACTCGGCCAATCTGAAACATGGACCAATACCTCAGTTAAAATGTTCACTGCTTGTTGTTTGTTTTTAGCATGCACATATAAAACGGTGTCATCAGCATACATTTGAATACTAACAGATGAACAGACTAGCGGCAAGTCATTAATATACAAACTAAACAAGAAGGGCCCAGAATTGATCCTTGAGGAACTCCAATATTACGGTTTCGGTACATTGATTGACTATTACCAAGACGCACACTTTGCTTCCTATTTGCTAAATAAGAAGTCATCCATTTAATAGCTTCATCAGAAAAATTAAAAAGTGTGAGCTTTGAAAGAAGTACCTCAAGGTTCACAGTGTCGAACGCCTTCTTTAGATCCAAAAACACTGCTTCTATTACTCCACCACCATTTTTTATTTTTTTGAAGTGTCTCTATTTTTCTTATAGCATCTCTGTAACAAATTAAATCCTATATCATCCTGATCCTTTGGTAAACGTTATTAGTTGTTACTATACAGACGATGTATTTCTACACAATACCACAATGTGAGACACTATTATGCCTAAAAGGGGTTTTATTTTGAAACTAAAATAACATTATCCAGCTCTGATTTCACAAATAACTCCCCAGAATGTCTGCTCAGGAAATCAGACACAAAAAAATCTGAATATTAAGGGCCAACAACTGTGCATTTAAATAGAGCGCTCATTTGCAATTTAAATGCTGCTGTTGTGTAAGCCTTGATGAATTGCATGTGATGTTTTTACTCACATTGTTGTTTGCCGCTGCTTGGCTAAATGCTGTGAATAGGGGTTTGTTCCCTATCAGACATTTATATCTGTCCAGACTAGTTTAGTTGGTGCTCATTTAGCAGTTGACCACTTTATTCAAGATGGAGCTTAATACAGATATAAATACCCTGTTTGTTTTAGCACTCTGAACAGGAAATTATGAATCACTGCTCTTAGCCTAAAATACTAATTGATTAACGTTGCTCTGTGTAAAACATGGGTGATGACCGAATCATTGACTTGTAATGGCTTATGTTTAATGTGGCCTCTGTTTTTCTAAGCAGGGTCTAATTTATTTGTCAAATAACATCCCACGGGAACGGTCATTCTGGCATCTTTAATGAACTGCCTAAGAATGAGTCAGAATTCCAATCTGCACAATTCATGGGTACGTCTCGCAAAACATACCCACAATGCACTACCTATGGGGCAGCAAACACTAATTGGCACTGTCTGAAGCAAAAATAGCGTGGACTGTGAGTGCAAGCGTGTTTACATTACATGTGTGCAGGTTTAGTGTTGACAGTGAAGATCTCTGCTGAAACACACTGATCTTGACTGTTTTTTTACTAAGTCAAGCACGGGCCTTTGCAACCATGTAGCAGTGTGATTTTAAACACTACTAAGAACACCCAAGTTCAGGTGACAATGAAAGATCCATTTTGGTTGTAGATATATCTGCTATGTCTAGTGAATTGATTGGTTGTTTGTAGCATACTGCAGTGTTTTCGGTCACACTTTAGTTTGAGGACTAATTCTCACTATTAAAGGGTTAGTTCACCCCAAAATGAAAATTATGTCATTAATTACTCACCCTCATGTCGTTCCAAACCTGTTTGCGCCAGAACGCCCACCACACGCCAGTTTATTGGTGGAGAGGAGACAGAGCGATGAAGCCAATCAGCAGATATGGGGATGGTTAGGAGGCCATGCAAAACTGGCTCTCAGATTCCATAAAAAAATCTTTATTTGTGTTCCGAAGATGAATGAAGGTCTTACGGGTTTTGAACGACATGAGGATGAGTAATTAATGACAGAATTTTCATTTTGGGGTGAACTAACCCTTTAACTATTAACTACGACTTTTGCCTCAAATTCCTAATTCCTAATTTGCCTCGAACTCCAAACTCCTAATTGCTGCTTACTAATAGTCAGGTAGTTAGGTTTAGGTATGGGGTAGGATTAAGGGATCTAAAATGTTCATGCTGAAAAAGACATTAATATGTGATTTATAATTACTAATAAACAGCTGATATGCTAGTAATGTGCATGCTAATAAGGAACTAGTTAATAGTGAGAATTGTTCCCTATACTAAAGTGTTACTGTGTTTTCTTTTTTAGGAGTACAGTTACACCTAGGACACAGCTTGTAATGTTTTCTAACTAAAGTTATTGCCATGGTGTTAAGATCATTGCTTAAAACTCGTAACCCAAAGGTTGCGGGTTTGAGTCTCGTACCGGCAGGGATTGTAGGTGGGGGGAGTGAATGTACAGCGCTCTCTTCCACCTTCAATACCACGACTGAGGTGCCCTTGAGCAAGGCACCGAACCCCCAACTGCTTCCCGGGCGCCGCAGCATAAATGGCTGCCCACTGCTCCGGGTGTGTGTTCACGGTGTGTGTGTGTGTGTGTGTGTTCACTGCTGTGTGTGTGCACTTTGGATGGGTTAAATGCAGAGCACTGATTCCAAGTATGGGTCACCATACTTGGCCACATGTCACATGTCACGTCACATGCTTAATATCCTTAATATCCTAAAAGGTTGCACGAGTTGTATGTTTACCCAGAGGCGAAAGAGAAAACTGCTGTGGCCTATTATGAAATTCCATCTTGGTCTTTATGGTAAGGTCTGAGGGGAAAGTTTATGTAAGGACATATGAAATCACCAGAATAAGTCTTGTGCAGGGCTCGCAAAATTGCTAGCCCGATGTCCCAGGGCCATATCTTCCAGTCTGGCTACCAAAATGTATCATCTTGAATAATGAAGGAAAATTTCTTCCTTCATTCACGTTGTTCACTCGCTTGTAGGGGTGAAACGGATCATAATTGATCATTTGCATGTATTTAAGTCTTGCCGATTTAAACATTGAAGAATTTTAAACCACTGAATCGCATGAAGAGGCTAAAGAGAACTAAAATCTGTACTCATGAGCACAGAGAGCAGCATTTCAGACAGCGCACAAACACAGAATTGATTACTCTTTTGCTTCTTCTTGAGCTTGAAACATTTACACAATTATCTCAAAATACCCGTCTCGACAAGTTCTACATAGTCGGTTATGTCTTACATTAATGTAAACAGTGGAGAAAGAAATCGCATGTGTCTATCATTATATATTGGATCTTTGTAATCCGTCTTAAAGGGACAGAAGCCCATAAAAAACTGCTGCTGTCTGTCATTAATGTTAATCGAACAACAAAACACACCTTTCAACAAAGTCTTTAAAGATTAGTACAGTGAACGCTATGCAGTGTAACTTTACATTTAATTATTACATTTATTTACTTGAAAACTAATGTTAGACATTTTATTTGTAACTTTGTTCTATTTTATCTATGCTTGAAATTTGTTTATTTTTTCTTATTTTATTACTGATGGTACACTTGTCTTTAAAAATGTTTGACCTTTATTAGCTTTGCTACTAGTTTTTAGCTGTGGTATCGAAGAAGTACTTAGTGTTCATTAAATAAAATAAATAAAAAAAACTTTTTTCTTTTTGCTCATGCAAAAAAATGACCCGATCTGTGACTCAAAATCCGTAATACAATCCAAACCGTGAGTCGGGGATCCATTGCACCCCTGCTCTCTCGACTTGTTATTTGAAGGAAAAATACAATCACAGAAGTTTTTGATCCTGCTGATTTGTCCACAGTGAAGTTCAGCTGAAGTCTTTTTTTTTTATTCAGGCTAGTTAAATTCATTCTGGGGCTACCAAAATCTGAAGAATGCCTGCCTGAAGTGCTACCAGGGATTTTGAAATTTTGTGAGCCCTGTATTCAGGCTAGTTAAATTCATTCTGGGGCTACCAAAATCTGAAGAATGTCTGCCTGAAGTGCTACCAGGGATTTTGAAATTTTGTGAGCCCTGTTGTGCATTCTGAATTTTGTACATTAAGGCACATTTAAGAGATGAGATGAAATCAGATTTAATGCTAAACTAAGATACTAAACTGCTGATGTAATCATTACGACATTGACTCACAACGTTTATATAATGATTGTAGGGAGCAGGGGCATTAATTTGTAAGGTAAATTTGTAAAATCTAAATTTGTTTCTTTTTTTCCTGCAGACTATCTGTGTAGTCCAGAAGACAATGTATACAATATAGACTTCACACGGTTCAAGATCAGGGATATGGAGACAGGAACAGTACTGTTTGAGATCACCAAACCACCAGCCACAGGTAAGTGTGTGTGGCCACTTCCAGCAGGTTACTGATTCCTGTCATGTGATCAGCAGCATGGAGAGTTATTGGATCTTGTGGGTATCTAACTAAAATGACCAAGTCGGGTGGTTCTCTATTAGACTTGCTACTGATGTAAATGCTTTCACATCCATAAATATATACAGTTATTGACGCAGTTATATAGTATACAGTTATATAATATGCACTCTGTCTGTGTGTGTGTGCCCGCCCAAACTTTTGTTACATGAGCACACAGGCTGGCTTGATTTTGACAACTATTTTCATGTTTTGGGCCATGTTGAACAATTTATATTTATTAGGTTACTGTTTAACAGTCCTTTAGACAACAAACTTGTGGGTTTCACATTTGACATTGCAAAGAAAAGTTGGTGCTGTGTGGTTACAGATAAAATCAATTAATAATCAGGCGCAACCGTGCCATGTGATGTGCTATCAGTGCTATCTTTTGCCCCTAAAAAGGTGTTTGTTAGCATTAGGTTACTGTTTATGTAATTAATTACTAGTATTTTTTGCCATTTGGCTTTTGACATGCATGTTATAAATAATGTTCCAGGACTATTATTATTCACTCATTATTTACTTTCAGTAGTCATGGCTACTTTAAAAAAAAATAAATAATAATAATAGTATTTTCTGCAATCTAAAGAGACAAATGAGCATGTCTGAAGAATGTGATGATTCCACAAGCACAGTATATGGCAGAGCAGTTCAAACGTTCTGAGAAAACCGAACCACTTACAAGTTTAAGTAGGTTAAAAAAAGGATTGGCCAAGGATTTCCACAGTCAGAGTTATAGAGAGGTGGTAATCATTTTCTGACCACTAGGTGGAACTGTCCTGAAACTGCTCAGGTATTATTATCATGGCTGTGCTTGAATATGAACAAGAAACACTGTGTGAACATAAACTACTGTAATGCGATTCATGGAGTAACTTTGCACTGAATGTGTATGATGTGGATTTGCTGTAGAAAACAGCTGTCCATGCATAGCTTCAGTGAGGAACACAAAGAATGGAAAAAGTCTTGTTTTAGTCCTTTTAATAAGTTTAAGTGAAGCCCAGAAAGACACTTGATTACAATCAGTCATGTGCAATTATGATCAGACACATACATGAATTATTTTACATTTCTGATTCTCATTGTGATGTTTTTTCCCCACTAGATAAAGGAGGGGATAAAAGAGATGTTGATCTAAATGCTGGCCGGTTTGTACGTTATCAGTTTACGCCGGCTTTCTTACGGCTACGTCAAGTAGGAGCCACGTAAGTACAGTTTATAAGACTAGTTTATAAAAGTAGTCAGCGTATACACTACTGTTCAAAAGTTTCTTTTTTGAAAGAAATCAGTACTTTCATTCATCAAGGACAGTAAAGACTTACCTACCTCATGCTTTTGAATGGTAATACATGTTGGCCTTTAATGCACAGTTTTCTTAGAAGCCATAAGGTTACTAAATGAACAGATCTTCAAATATCTATTAAAATAACAGTAGAGTTAAGTAAAGTTACTAAAAATGAGCGCATGCAGGATGTTATTAAATATTTGCATGATTAGATCATCACTGTAGTCCTGCTGTCCTATCATATTGTCCTCTCTTGCAAAGAGATTACATATTTAGAAAATCAACACAGTAGCTCATGAAAGGACAGACAGCTGATATTCATTAGTGGAGCTGTCTCATATTCCAGAACAACAGTTGCATGATTATTGAGGTCAGATATAATAATCAAAACAAAGCGAGCATAAATAATTTCTCTAAATTAAACCTGTCGAAGGAATCTCGTCATCATGCTAAAGGGCAGAATATAGAAGTAGATGCAGTAAGCTACTTATATTATAAATAATGAATCCGGTTCACATAATACATTGAGGAATGGAATGCTGAACAGTTTTTGGTAATTAGTTGGCTGAAGTTACAAGCTATCTAACTAACCCAAGTGAAGGACTGTGTAGTGAAATGAACACTGAAGAACTACGAGTCTCAACTGAATATCTTCTCTGCCTTGTTTCGGTGTTTTAAGTGTTGAATTCACAGTAGGGGACATCCCCATCAATAACTTCCGGATGATCGAGAGGCACTATTTCCGTGAACAGCTGCTGAAGAGCTTCGACTTTGAGTTTGGCTTCTGCATCCCCAGCAGCAAGAACACCTGTGAGCACATCTATGAGTTCCCCCCGCTCTCAGAGGATCTCAGTAAGTGCCAGTGTCAGATGTAACCCCTGAGCAAATTGCAAATACTATTATGAAATGATGGCGATTGTTTGTCTACATCTCAGTGTTGACATATACCATTCAAATGGAATGGGACAACTGTGTTCATAAGTTATATGAAGTCAATCCAATCATAAATGAATGGGCTTTTGCAAATTTTCTTTTGGAGTGATCAGACCATTTACACAAGATGCTGTGTTGGTCATGCCAGACTTATTCGTTTGTTTTTGTGGAAAGGTGATGAACCACCAATTTGTACTTTTTGTAATTTCATTTTGTTAGAATGTACTGCTTTAAATGTCACTGTCAGCGTTTTTACTCAAAGTTCTCTAATGGTTGTTTCACCAGGAATAATCTTAAATCAAATATTGAAATGAAAAATCTTATACAATGTTTGTTAAATTTATGTGAGTTGGTTGTCAATTGTTTTTCATTACTACTGTATGTTACTATTGTCTCTTTTAAAATCCATTGATCTTGCCATGAAAATAGCCATAGATGGTGGTATGGCAATAAAAATAAGCGAACACCGCTAAATATACTGTTCAAAACTAAGTTGGGTCCCACTTTATATTAAGTGGACTTAACTACCATGTACTCACATTTAAATGAATCAGTTGGTACAATGCACTTATTGTGTACATGTTTTTACATTGTACTTATATTTTAAAAATTGCATGCATGTAATTACATCTGTAATTAATTTCTGTAATTACATTCATAATTACACTGTTGACCCATCCCTTACACCTTAACCCACCCTTAAACCTACCCATACCACCAAACCTGTCACTAACCTTACCCGTATCCCACCCCAATAGCAGCAAAAGTGTTTTGCAATACAATATAAACACAATAAGTGCACTGTACTTATTTTTTGATGTAAGTACATAGTAGTTTAGGCCACTTAATATAAAGTGGGACCCTAAGTTGTAAAGGGAATGGACTTTTTTTGTTTTTGAAAGAAGCCTCTTATTAACAAGGCTGCATTTATTTGATAAAAAATGCAGTAAAAACGGTAATATTGTCAAAAATTATTCGTTCGATACAAAGCTGAATTTTCAGCATTCTTGCTCCAGTCTTGTGTCACATGATCCTTCAGAAATCATTCTGATATAGTTTTTTTTAATTCATAACCCAGTAATGAATATAGCACAAAAAATGCTAAATTAAGATATTCAAAGCAAGTTCATCATAGAAGGGTCTATTAATATATACAAAAATACATTGAGAAAGAGATATATTGATGTATGTATTTTTTAGTATATTAATAGACCCAGAAAGAAATGAACGTGTCATTGACCTACCAGCATCTATGAAAGGAAAATACTGTAGCTTTTAAAAAGCTTAATTATTGTTTATCACTTTATCCATGGTGATTTGAGCTCTCTGACGTGTTTTCTCTTTATTTCAGTACGTGAGATGATCCTCCATCCTTACGAGACGCAGTCTGACAGCTTCTACTTTGTGGACAACAAGCTGGTCATGCACAACAAAGCAGATTATTCATACAGCGGAGGCCCTTAGGACAGCTGTCGGAGGGGGCTGAGGCAGAGAGTTTGACTGACAGACCTAAGAACCAATCACATGTCTTTGTCCAGCAGTCACACCCTCCTTGAATCAGTGTCATAGACGACTGCCTGCAGTGCGTCATGCCTGTTTTTGAGATCTAGAGTCATATCATAAGGTCTTATCCAATGCATACATATCCTATTCTGATTTCACACTGCCATCATTCACATCAGCAAATATAGATATTAAAAGTGTCTATTTTGTATAAGCAAGGCACTGTAATGTGAATGGTACTTAGGTTTTCTATTCATCATGTGCGTGCATGTGTGTGTGTGTGGGTTTTGATTCAATGATTTTGTGTGTGTATGTGTGTGAGGGTGGTGTTTAACTCTGATAAGACCATTATATATCGTTGATGAGTATTTCTTTCCCTGTCAGAATAAGCTACATCATATTTCATGATATTTGTGAACTTTTCATCCTGAATAGAATATGATATGATTTTATGGTGAGACCTTGACATAATTGATAGATTTGTGTTGAATTAGATATATTTTGATACGTGAACAAACTATTTGTGTGGATAAAAACAAGTCAAATCAGTTAAAACTTTCATGGTGGGCAACCTTCATTGATCTGTCGAAACGAAGGACTTTTGCTTTCAAAGGTCTGCATAAAGTTTCTGATTATAGATAATTCACACTGCAAACGAGAGGTTGTGTAGATAAATCAACGTTGTGAAAAATGCCTACTGAAAAGGGAACACGGCACACGTTACAAGCCTTGACATTTCAAATGTCTGGTCCGTGTGGTTTCTTTTTGTCTTCGTTCAAAACAAGAGGAAAGAAGTGGCCGTTTTGAGCCGTTTAAAGAACAGTAGTTCAAAGAGATCCAGAGATGCAGTCTCTTCTCATCTCTCCATCTAAGCATTCCCTTTCTCACACATTCCAGCGAGCCAGACCCTTCATGGCTGTTTAGTGCACATAGCAGAGGTTCGATTTAACATCTTATCCAAGGATGTGTTGTATCTATGATCCTTGTATTCATAGTGCAAAAAGTGCATTTAGGAGAATGATTTTCATGTTTTTGGTTTATGAATAAAGAGGAGGCTTTCAAAGACTTCTATAAGTGCATAAAACGGAGGAACAACTTGAAAAATGTTTCTAGTCAGATGTAATATGTGCTTTATTTATGATTGTGATTTATTGTAAATGATTTTTGGGGGGGGGAGAAACGTATGTTTTGGACAGTTCAAATGCCAGTCTGGAATAAAAGAGAAATAAATGTATATGTTGAATTTTTTTTTAATTATTGAAGTTGTCTTTTTTTTCCCCATAGCCTTTTATTTTCTTATAAATGTTTGTTTCATTTAGTGCTTAGCACTAGTTTATATTTAAATTATACATGTTACTGTTAAAAAATGGGTTCAGTAAGAATTTTTTTAGAAAGACAATACTTTTATTCAACAAGGAAATCAAAGCTTTTGTTGTTGAAAAAAAAAACAATTTCCAAACAATGCTGTTCTTTTAGAATTTGCATCCTTCAAAAAATCCCCCCAAAAAAGCGTATCATGGCTTCTACAAAAATATTAAGCACCACAACTTTTGCATCAAAATTGGCATATTAAAATGATTTCCAAAGGATTATGTGACACTGAAGACTGGAGTAATGACTGCTGAAAATTCAGCTTTGCATCACAAGATTTTATTTAATAAAATAAATATAGCCTTGGTAATCAAAAACCTAAACTTTTGATCAGTAGTGTAATGAGTTAAAAAAAAAAAAAAATATATATATATATATATAAAAATCTGTAAAATATATGCAAGTCCAAAGATTTGCAATTTTTCTTTAATAATATAAATGACACTTTCTGAGATAATTACATGAAATACTTGAAATCAATTCCCAACAGTATTGTTGCTGCAGGCTGTAAATGAAATTTCTCACAAGACTGCACGAAATTAGTTTTATTTGAGAAAAGGCACATATTCTGAAAAATGCTGTGACATTTATGTTTCAAGTATTTACTTCTACAAAGTAGGGGCAACTGTCTGTCTTAACAGATTAAGATTTTACGATTCAGCCGTGTATTAAAATGTATTAAATAGACTGTGATCCAAAACGGGATCTAAAATATAAAAGGTCTTGTCCAGACCCTATAAATTAATTTACTTTTCGTGAACCAGCACAAATGAAAGACCAGAAAACCTACTTGTGAAAACCAAACCCACTGAGAATGTAGAAAAAAAAAGCTCTGTATGAACCAGATTTTGCCCAAACTGGGCTAGCAAGAGCGCTACATGGAAGCCAACTCATATTTACAAAGTCCTCATACTTGAGTGACTTTAAAGATGTAAATAAGTGATACAGAATTTCAAACACTATGGAGGCTGTAAATCCTTACCTGCCACTTATGTAGTGCTTGAAAAGATACTTTCTAAAGGTTTGAGAAAAACAGCTTTTGCTCCAGAGGGAAATGATGTGGAGACGGACGCTACATGCTCTGCATACTGTGACACTTTTGTCCATTTGATGATGGTATTTTTTGGAGTAGCTTCCTTTTCCCCCTCTCTTTCCCTTCAGTGTTCTCGTGAAACCAAAGAATTAGATGTGAAGATGTTCATGGTGTACTTGTTGCATTTGTGGTGTTGGCCCATGCGGGAAAGGTTCCTAGATTAAACATGGCCATTCCCCATGTGTTGATGCCAAGGTTGATGCTTAGAATGCCAATGATGTTTAGAATGAAGCCTGCCTTTGCCTTCAAACAAAAAGAAAATACAATTATCCACAAATCCTTCCGTAAACAGAGCCTCAAAAATGTATTTTGACATTTAAATCCCAGTTAAACTTCCACTGGAACATCAAAACTAATGTGAGGGAGAAAGACTCATGTAAAGTGTGTTCAACCATACCATATCCAAGACTTTGAGGTTGCCATAGGAGAAAGCGATGGCGTTGGGTGGAGTGGCTACAGGAAGCATGAAAGCCAGCGATGCGCTGATGGTGCAGGGCAGCATCACGTAGAGAGGATGGAGCCCGATGGTTGTGGCCTGCAAATAGAGACGGCATATTATTAGCACTTCCATACTTGTTAGCAAGTTATATTTTTGAAAAACGCAGCAACATAGAATACATGCGGTAGATATCTTTAGGCTAATTCAGGCTGTGCTAAATATGTTCTCTGTATGCCGTGTACTCACCATAGAGGCTAGAATGGGCAGGAACAGCGTGGTGGTGGCTGTGTTGCTGGAGCATTCTGTGAATGTTCCCACCAGGAAACACAGGATCAGAGAGATGGCGAAGGGTGGGATGCTCTGCAGTGGGGCCAGACTTTCACCCAGCCATTTTGACAGTCCAGACACCTACACAATTATATAAAAAATATGAATATAAGTTAAAGGGGTCCTATTATGCTCTTTTACAAAGTCTTGATTTTGTTTTGGGGGTGTACTAGAACAGGCTCTCATACTAAGTTGTTCGAAATTGCGTCAAAATCAAATCAATTTGAGCGCGATTTAAACCCGATGATTGTAGCCACTCTAAGTTCGTCTACCTTGGGAAAGCTAGCGTGTCTCCAACATAGTGATAAACACTCGTTGCCTTCTCTAGTGCAGCTCAACCAGGTCTCGTCCCATTCGTCGATATTTGTCTTGTGTCCCACACGCTGGTTGAGAACCACGGTATTATATTAAATTATACCTCACTTCCTCTTGCCAAGGCAAATCCTCCACCCAGGAGCAGCACTATGTTCCAAGGCATGTGTTCCTGTACCACCTTCCAGTTTAGAAGAGTGGGAGTACCCCTCAGTTTGTTCTTCTTGTCCTTCTTCTGTTTTTCTTCTTTTTAATAAAACAGACAGTTCAGTAAATTTGGTTTAAGACCTAGTTTAAACTGATGGCACAATGTTTCGTTCAAATACTCTGAATGCAGAAGCACCTTACCTTCCCCCACTCCTTCAGCTTCTTCATCATGTTCATCATTTGCACTGACAGAACATGAACAGTCTAGCCGAGATGGAATGACGAAGAAGAGGGTTGACATGAAAATGGCCACAGTGCCATCGGTGACATATCTTGACCGAGGAAAATAGAAAGAAATTAATATGCAAAGAAGATAACTTTTTTATGTGAGCGATTTCTTAAAGGTTTTTGGGTGAAGTTTACTCACTGTCCATTTTTGTTAAAGAGCTCAGTAGCCCAGCCTGGCATGAACCCTGGTTCTCGTGTGAACCACAGGATCACCAGGATCACAAAGATGACAAGCACTGCGCCCTCAGCAAAAGATATCGGGCCCAACTTCTTGTATTCATTTTTCATCACTCTGTAAGCTTCTTTGTCTCCCTCATTTTTCAAACCGCAGCCAAAACTGTTTTTTAAGCTGAAAAACAAAATCACCTCAAATTGAAATAATCTAATAACACTTACTTTATGTCCTAGACACACTATGTAATTTAATGTAAAGCATGCAGGTTACTTACTTAAATCCCAAGTACATGAACTGCAGCCAAAACCAAGAGAGCGCAAGCATCAGTACCATGTTAGGAAAGGCAAAACCGAACCAGCTGGCAAAGTTGATCACGTCATTGTTATCTGGAAAAATGCTGCAAAAATATGTGTGAGAAGAGACCTTGCTCCCTTACTGTTTGCACATTTGTATGTTGTAGGTCTAACAGTTTGTGTGCACAACAATGCACAACACCTATATATATATATATATATATATATATATATGCATATATATATAATGTATTATTATTAAAATAACAGGATATTTGACAAACATACTCATCCATCTGACCCTTGAGAATAAGATTTGGTGTGGTGCCCGTTAGGGTGGCAGTTCCTCCAATGCTGGCAGAGTAACACACAGATAGACTCATTCCTTTAAAGAGACGAAGGTACTTCACTTCACGTTCTTTCCTCCTGCGTTCAGAGAGTGCATTGATTCTTGCCTCCAGATCTGGGTTGTCTGTCAAAATTTAGAACAGGTGGGATGTATGTTTTAAGACTGTGCTTTATTACCACTGATTGGTAAAATAGGCAACACTGTATTCTCGTACACTAATTTCGGTGACCCTTTCACTCTCTCATTTCATATAAAAGCATGGCACCACTTTGCATCTCAGTTATCGGTTGTAGTCAAAATTAGCTTTTTGAAACTTCAGATCAACTGAACCAGTTGCTTTACAAAATGATTCATTCTTTGGAAGCGTTTGAAACATGAATGCTGGCGGCTGATTGTCAAAACGGTGTAGAGGCAATGAAAACACAACCCAAATACAAACACAGTTTACAAACCAGCTGCAAAATTATTAATAAAAGTGTAACACATATAATAATAATAACAAAAACTGAACCTACATTATAAAACAGGCCCGAGATCAGTTAAACCCATTTATTAGCTGGTTGCAATAGTGCAGCCTGGACAGAACAAGAGCTTGAACAAGGAGCTGTGAATGCTCCGAAAGAAAGGACCTGATCTTTCTAATGTTGTATAAAGCAAATCTGGAGGACCGGACAGTTTTAGCAATGTGGTCTGTGAAATTTAGCTGATCATCAATCATGACTCAAAGGTTCCTGGCTTTTCTTGAATGAGTTATGGTTGATGGATAGCTGGATGGTGAAATTGTGATGAAGTGATGGGTTGGCAGAAACCACAAGCAGTTCTGACTTGGCAAGGTTGAGTCGAAGGTGATGGTCCTTCATCCAGCAAAAAATGTCTGTTAGACATGCTGAGACTCAAGCAGCTACCGTTGGATCATCAGGATGGAATGAGAGGTAGCGTTGAGTGTCATCAGCATAGCAGTGATATGAAAAGCCATGTTTCTGAATGACAGAACCTAGTGATGCCATGTAGACAGAAAAGAGAGGTGGTCCAAGAACTGAGCCCTGAGGCACCCCAGTAGCTAGATGTTGTGACTTGGACACCTCACCCCTCCAAGATATCTTGAAGGACCTATCTGAGAGGTAAGACTCAAACAACTGGAGTTCAGTTCCTGAGATGCCCTTTGCCAACAGGGTTGAAAGGAGAATCTGGCGGTTAACCAAGTCAAAAGCAGCGGACAGACCCAGCAAGATAAGTATTGAAGATTTGGAAGGACATGTGGATGTGTATATGCTGTGTCAGGAACCATGTTGAGGTTAAGAGTGAAGAGGAAGTGATCCAATGTGTGCAGTGGAGTAACCAGCACATGATCAGTGGAGCAGTGGCATGTGTAAATAAGGCCCAATTGGTTACCTAATTTGTGAGTAGCCGCAGTTAACACTCGCTCGAGATCAAAAGAGG